GATTACGAATGCTTTTTACAAAATCAGAAACATGGCCACGCCCACAGGCGACTGATCGAATCTTATGGGCCCAAACCCAGCTAGTGCGGGATCGGCCCGGCCTGGGCCGCTGTTTTTCCGATGAGCCTGCTTAGTCTATTTTGACTTGGGCTCGACCTTCGTGAGGTTGAGACCGTGAACTTGTGTTCTTTGTTCTAAGGGTGTGGTTTATCAGTCATACGAGGCAGTTTATCAAAAGGGAAGGAAATTAACTAACAATGAATAGTTGTATACTTGACATGCATTAAAGGGCATGCTAATCACAAACATAGCTAATTTCTAAGATGTAGCCTACTACACTGTCAATCCTATTGTCTGTCAAACTATACACACAATATGATATTAAATTACCCTACATTTACATTCACTATGTAAGAGGGCTAATTCCAGTATCCAGGCAAGAATGTCAACCATTACACATTACATGATATTCGATATAACAAACTATATGTGGAAATAAACATCTTCAAATCTTCTCTTTTGTATTCATGCTCAACTTTCGAGTTACATTGACAGTGTATTAGTCGTGTACCTGGATGTTTGGACAATAAGAAGGAGAAGAAGAAAAGTATCAGCAGCAGGCAACCAAACAGCAACAACACAACAACAACAACCAACAGCAATATCCAACAATCAATGAAGAAACCCACAGGTGATCGATCAACAAGCAAACAATCCCAGAAAACAGAGTAGTAAAACAGCCCAGAAAACCAGAATGTTCAATGCAATAGCCACAACAATCCAATAGTCACAAACAGCTCGGCAAATAACCAACAACAATTGGCAAAGACAGCTTGACCAACTTAAACTCTTATGTAGTTTTCAGACAATGTTGGGTTACAATATTCTGAAATTTTCTTTATGTTTCTTTCTCTCAGTTTTTTTTAGCTTAAAAACCTCTATGAAGACTAAAAAATGTCCAGCCCCTTTTTATATTTTGAGACAGCTTATTTATAAGCTAATAACCCAGTACAGTCAAGCTGCCTGGATCCTGCAAATTGCAGTCTGCCCATACCCCTTAGCTTCCCATGCCTAAAGGCATTTTTCTTGGTAAACTTAATCAGCCCCCATGCTTTGTCCTATTGCTCTAATCAAGAGTTATGGGTTTAAAGTATTCATTTAATCCCCATGCTCTTATGTTAATATTCCCCATTGTCATTAGGTTAATAATACTTTAATTACCACTTGACATGCTCTTAAGTTAATGCCTGACCAAACTCTGTTAAATGCCAAAACTACCCTTAAACCTTGCATATTACTGTATTACCCTAACTCCTAATATTCAGTATATAAACCCTTCTGATTTTAACCAATACCTGACTACTAGCTAATTAAACTCAATACTGCTTTCAGGCTGATCTGTTAGATTTCTAAAGCTAATAGCCAACTCTCTGCCTAAGTTCAGGCCATGATTCAAACTTAAACACACAGGGGTTCCAATCAAATGGTATGAGTTGGCCACTTTGGGAGCCAAACCTGACCAACTCAAAACCAATTGATCCAAAATGCAGTTAAGGATGCAAACTATGATCGAAGTGTTACTACATCAGACCTACAAGTATCATCATAAAATAAAAGAAACAGACACAGTAATCATACTGAAATGTAGGCTCCTGATTTTTCAATCTTTCAAGTGAATTCAGTTGACGACACTTATTTAGATGACTACACAAACTATAATATACATCAAACAAACAATAAAACCAACAAACAAGCTCAACATTAACTCAAAACTTACACACATGGACAGACAAGTCAGAAACCAAAACAAACCAGAACATGAAAGACAGATAGAATTTAAGAGGACAAAAGAACAGGGTAAACTACCTCAGGGATATGAAATTAAGACCGAGCCAAAACTCGGACTCGGATTCGATCATTTCGAGGTCGAATGGACCTTAATCGAAGTGTTCTCAACTGAGAACACCTCGGTTAAAGTCTATTAGACCCCGATTCCCTTGCCGGTTTGGGACAAATACCCATAAATCTAAGTTCTAGGGTTCTTGGTGGTCTGTTTTGGGATCCGTTCAGTTCTGGTCAGATTCGAACGAAACCAAAGTCATTCAGGGGGTGAGGGAGGTCAGGAGATACTGTGGTGTGAGTTTGGGGCCAGGGGGTGTAGATCTGGGTTTTTGCTCGAATCTTCGATTGAAGATTCGAGAAGCTCCGAGGTGATTCGAGGTGAACGGTTAAGGGATTCGTGTTCAGGGAGGTTGGGTGCATCATGGGTGTTATTTTGGTGGTCATCGGAGTTCGGGTGGCTGGTTTTACGGCGGGGAAACCTAAAACTGCTAGGGTTTGAGAGGAGGGGGTCTGGGACGATGATGAACAGTGGCTGAAGAGTGGGGTTTGATTTGGGGGGCGTGGGGTGTGATAGGGAGATTATATACGGAGTAGGGGATTAGATCTGGGCCGTTAGATCAGATGATCTCAACGGCCTGGATCCACTGGTGAGGGACAGGACGGGGTCGTTTAGTATAGAAACGAGATCGTTTGGTTTAAGTGAGGGGTTGGGTTGAATCGGTTACTGGGTCGGGTTTGGTAACGGGTTGCTAAAAGGGGTCTTGGGCCGTTGGATTGGCCTGGACGGACGGCTCAGATCCAACGCCTTTATACGACGTCGNTTATAACCTAAGCTCGGTTACTTGATCTACCTTAGACGGGCTCCCTTTCAAAGTGTAATGAAGATTACCAACACTAGACTCTCGGGCGGATTTATAGGCAAATACATTGGGCACGTGAATCGTGGTCTTTCCGTCAAACTAAGTATTTTATGTACATATTTTTTAGAATTGGTCTAGTATTATTTGCTGGCACTCATGCTTCAAAGAGGCTAAACAATGTACTTGATTGAATGTTGAGTAACTTGAGTTATTTACCTAGAGGATAGGGATCACTTATCCCGCTTAATACTTCCTCTTCTCTCCCTTTTTTAATGGTACACACGTGTTATAAAAATTCTAGATCCGCCTAGACTATAGGCTTTATGACCATCCGTTTGATCCCTTCCATTAAATCTAAAGTTTCTTGCTATGATTGTAAAATGTATGTGCATTGGATGTGAGTCTAAGCAGCTACCTTATTTATTTTGGCCTTCCTGTTTTGCTACTCTCTACGAGAGGGTCTTCTAAAGATTAAAGTAAATCATAGAGTAGCTACGCACATGTATGTGTAGGTGTAGGGACTTTTATTAGCCACGTATTCTCGATATCAATATTGGACGTTTTTCAACTTCTTATTCAACATTTTCGAAATGAAGGAGCCGGGAGTTTTGAAATAATGATAAAGTTGTCTTTGTTTGACTTATAGGTTACAAGTTTGAGTCATCGAAGCAGCAACTAATACTTACATCAGAGTAGATTGTCTACATCACACCTTGAGGTGCGGACCTTTACCGAACCCTGCGTGAATGCAGGATGCTTTGTGCATCGAGTTACTCTTTTTATTCAAAATGTTTGGTTTCAAAGGTTGTATCCACATTATGTAAGTTTACGTAAACCAATTATATCTTCATTAGAGGTGAGGTAAGAGAATGAAGTTAGCAAGAAATGAGCTAAATGAAACATGAAAGTAACTTCAATAATGACTCATTTGAGATTACAACATCATAGTAGTATGTGTTATATATCCTGACAAGATAGGGAAATTCCATGTGCGTTAGGGAAACATAATACTTGGTCCACATTTACTCAATTCCTTAATTGGTCACTCTATAATAGTAGGTATATGACGGCAAAAAAGAAAGGAAAAGAAGCTTTTTAGTCATGTGGTCAAAGATTTAACTCTTGTATGAAAAGGGGTCTTTTTTGTCTTAGCAAAATCAACCAACCTGTGCCGAGAGAGACTGAAAATTAGACTTAGACAAGACTTTTGTGGGGACATTATTGGCTTAAATTGAGAAAGATATAACTTTAATTATGTGCCTGCCCCAATTGAACTGCTACGTACTTTTGATTTAGAAGACCACTTAATTACATAAAGGTGGAAAGTGGAGGGAATTAAGAGAGACTCCATAAAAGTAATTTAGGATCAATTAACAAATATAGTCAGGTAAAGTCAAAATATCCTTTCAGCATAATTATTAGAGTGTATGTAGGAACAATCATTTTGTGCCTTTGTGCTTTTGAGTTAGTTAGAAACTCAACTTCATTAATTGTGGTTTATGGTTTATGCAGAAGAATCTTGTGGTAAAGGAATAAATTTGCAACTGTTATAAGTTGGAAATTTTGACACGACGTCCACTGATTTGATGGGAAGATGGTAATGCATTGATATGCATGAACAGTAAAATCATGTGTAGAGGCTGCTAATTATAGACGAAGATAAGTTTTGGTTTGTTTGGTATTCATTCTTGCTATGACTAGTGGATGTCTTAGAGCAGGAGGATGAATAAATGAAGGGTTAGAAAAAGACTGGTCATTGGTCAAAGGATACACACACTAAATAGAATGTGATTAGATTATTGAGATACTTGTTATCCCATACTAGGTGTAACGAGCACTGTCCGAATTAGTCAAGTCAATATATTTATTTTTACAAAATACAAGTTCATTTATCAGCCGATGATGTTTGCATCAGGGCAGACTGCCTGCATCACATTCCCTTGGAGTGCAGTTCTTCTCCGAACCCTACATGAACGCGGGATACTTTGTGCATTGGGCTGCCCTTTGTTCATTCAGTTCTAGACTATGTTCGTATTAACTCCGGGAGATTAAAAATCTTTTGACATAACTTCTCTTTATGTGGCTTTAAGATGATTGAAAACAAATTCACTTCACTTTCAATAATCGGAGGCAGTAGGTCATGGGCCGGCGGGCACAACGCTAGTTTATTAAGTTTGGGAATTGTGAAAAACTAATGCTACGAGCTTCTAGAATCCACTAAAATCTTGATAAAATCGACATTCATTTACTATTAATACCTTCTATAAGTATATTGTCAAGCTTATAAGTAGATAAATCTCAAAATCTATCTAGGAGATGATTAAACCATCTCATTTTATATGACAACATATCCATCCAACTTAACAATTATCTTGTGGAAAATGTTAAAACTCAATATAGCCATTTACACCAGGCAATCTGCTTTATACAAAAATTGGAAGCATAGGCTTTTCATCCTACAAGTTTGTTTCACTGCAACCTTTGTCTCTTTCCTAGGACAAAACTGTTCATATTTGGACCAGCAGATATCAATCTCTGATTTTCCAAACAGGAAACATAGCCAGAATTAGCAAAGTTTAACATAGGCGTAGACACTAAAGATCCACATGACATCTCAAAATAAGGCTGAGAATGCAATGATCTTGAAACAAGATTCTGATTTGTTATCTCTGCTTCAAACCCTTTAATTGAAACTGGTGGAATATTAAACGCCTTAAGCTGAGGCGGATTTCGCCATTGAGGAAGTTGTCCTGAAACTAAAAGTGTTTGCAAAAGTGGCCCTGCTTCAATAACAGACTTCAATAGTTTCCCTTTCTGTGGCAAAGATTTCCCCTTTACAAGATTGTCAATAACCAATGTAGCCTGATCAACTTTTGGGACCAATTGAGGGACACAATTGTCCGAGAATCGAACGTTACAATCATAGGCTAATGCATTTGATTCAGCCATGTTGTTGTTGGAAAATTCAGGGGATGAAACTGCATCAAAAAATGACTCGACTGGGGATGAATTATGTGATTGGTAATTGTATGTTTCAGAAAGGCTGTTTGATTCAGTTATGCTTGAATTTGCTTTTGTAGCCTTCAAATGAGGACTATTATCAACTTGAACATGAGATAGTTTGTTGAGTAGTTTCTGAAGTTGTTCTCTTGCTTCATCTCTTTCTTGACAAATCATCTTTAATAGTTGGATTAATTGCTGCACATATTCTTTGTTCTTCCTCATTTCTTCATATTTTTCAACCTTCAATTGTTCAAGTTCAAGACTATTGTACAGAAGCTTCTGCCTCATTTCATCTAGAGTCTGCAACATTTGATAAAAACCCCAAGTCAGACAAAAGTCTTCAAATATTGAATTATATTAACAAAAAATAGTCTTTAGGCATGCTACTCAAGAAAATAGGTATTGCACAACTTTAACCAAACAAAAACTAGGAACGCCGGACCACAAGGGTCTATTGTGCGCAACCATACCTGCATCTCTACAAGAGGCCGCTGTTCCACGGCTTGAACAGTGACCTCATGGTCACATGACAGCAACTGCGTTAAGTCTAACACAAAAAATCATTGACGGTGGAACAAGAAAGCTCTACACTTAATTTAGTGTTACTATAAAAGGGGGAATTCTAGCAAAAAACAATGATATTCAGAAAATACAATGTAAAGGGATATCTTAAGAAAGAAAGGTTTAGTTGAGAAGTGAAAGTCTATAGACAGAATGAATGGTACTCAGAGGAAATGAAGTGAAAAAATGGATAAACAAGAAAATGAAGTACTACACACCTCTTGATAACTCCATAAAGAAGCCATTTCTTCCATTTTCTCTCTTAGTCAAACTCTCACAGAGTTACTTGCAAGAAGAGACGGGAAATAGAGAAATGAAATATTGAAAAATCTTTTTGAGGGGAAAGGGGGGGTTTTATGGGAGATGGATTGTAAGTCTTATATATATAGGAGGAAAAATGAACCAATCCCATCATGGAAATAAAAGTTAATTATGGAATCTTAACGACCTTCCAATAATAAAGAAAAATCCAATAGTAAAGAAAAATTGAAATAATAATAATAATAATAATAATAATAATAATAATAATAATAATAATAATTTGAATTTCACCATAATATGGTGGATACCGCCAATCGTGAATTATGATGATTGATTATAAGTCATGTTTGAAAAGGAAAAGTGGCTGATCCAAGCACATTTTAAACGAAAAGGGAATTTACCGTCTAATAAATGAAATTAAAAAAAAACTAGTGAAGTCTGGAAAAAGAAAACTTAATAGCCGTTTCGACATAAAAATTATAATGTTTGAAAAAAAATAGTATTTGGAGTTAAGTTGAAAAGTGGTATTTGAAATTTGAAATTATATTTGGACACTATTTCACTTGAAAAAATATTCCAGTTTTGTGAGTGTGGAAAAAATATTCTTTCTGAAAATTTAAAAATTTACAAAAACTTACAAAATTTCATGAATAAACACATTTTTTAAAAAAAATGAAAAAAAGAGAAAAATTTCTTATGGACAAAGTGGGCCTTATACTACTGCTATATACAAATGACAAAAACTCGTTGCAAAATAATTAAATATGGATAAGAATTTAATGTCTCATTGGTGTCAATGCCATTCATTCAAGTGCATTAATATCTCAAGCACTTTCCCATGGTGTAATTTTTGATTGGTAGCTTCGGAGAAAATCATGGTCGCATTGATTTAGCTCTTTCCTAGACTTTTCTTAGGGGGAAAAAACTTTACTTTTATACACCTTTTCAACTTACCAACCTAGACATGACGTTCTATAATACTACCTCCCTTTGATCCTATTTAATTGTCATTTTAGCCTTTTAACTCCCCCAAGAAAAAGGTTAATATCAAAAGGGCAGCTCGGTGCAGAAAGTGTACCACATTCAAGCAGGATCCGAAGAACGGTCACACTCCAAAAGGGTGCGACGCAGGCAGTTTATCCGGATGCAAGTATCAATAACTGATTTTACGGATCGGACGCATAACCTTTTGGTCACACAGAGACAACTTGATCATTGTTCCAAGGCTCCACTTCATTAATAATAAGAGTTGTCTAATTAATTTATCCTCAATTACTCTTTAATCTTTCATTATATTAATCTTCCTCCAATAAATGCTCACTATATTAGCGTTAACGTTAAAATTGAGATAAAATCAACAATTCTTTCTTAATTGCCTAAAACGACAAGTATTTTGAATAAAAAATATTTTGGCAAAATAACGAGTAAATTCGACATAAGGGAATACGAGTGTAATTGACAAATGACTAGTATTTGCAATATATTTAGTTAAGGAAAAAGAATGAGGGAGTATTTACTTTGTTGAATTGTTTCATCACCTCACTTTGTTGCATTTTATTGAAATAATCTTTCTAGGGGGGCTGGGGCTGCGTGTGAACTGCCCAAGATAACTGAAATGAACCGAATTGCTGTTGACTTGTATACAAATAAGTGTATTATCTAAATTATATTTCACTTTGACAAACTCTTCACATTTCTCCATAACTGGCACACGGTTTTATGCGGTGAGCACTGTCATTAAATTAATTATTAAGAGCTTATGGGGGTTAAAATAAATCGAAGAGAAAGACAAAGGCCCAAGTTTTATGTAATTATCTCGAATAGAATAGCATGAAACATATAAACACTTCAATTAAATTAAATAAAAAACAGGATACAGATAAAGCCAGGTCATCTCGGGAGAAATACGATCGGGAGGAGCTAATTCAAACCCCTCCGGTAAAATAAGAACAGCCCCCACGTTCAACCCCCCTTTTACCATTAGCAAGAACATGTTTCAGTTCCCTTTTACGATGAACATGGATGAGGTATTTCCCAAAACAAAAGGTCGGTATATTTCTTTCTTTATCCCCGACAAGCTGTTCCTGCAGTCACGTAGATTTTCAATAACTCTTAGTATGTAATATTGGTATATACAGATTTAAGTTATAGTGTATATATACACGGTTTGTGCATGGGTGGCTCGAATATAAGGCCGGTAAAACAAACGTTTGGGACCCAAACTTTTTGGGATCCTTATTTTTTCTCTTAAAGATGCATTGTATATGTATTACTAAAAAAAGTGTATATATTTAAATTTAAAAAGAATTTTTGGAGCGAAAGTACAATAACTTTGATGTGACGATCGTTGTAATAATTAAAGAATGTCATAATATTTAATAAATTATTTCCTTACATGGGTAGGGTAGCCTTTTTTTTTTTTTTGCCTCAACACATGCCACATTATTATTTACATATTTACTTTATTCATTCTCTCTTTTAATGTTTTTATTCTCAATATCGAAAAGTCTCTTAATTGGCAACTTACCAGGGCTTACAAATTATCTTCTTCAATGCATTACAACAAGCAATCATTATATTAAAGCAATACAACGCTTTCCGATATCATTATAGTATCAACTTATCTTGTTGTATAGTTTCTTACACTTTAATTCATGCTACTATCTATTGTTTCTTGTACTTCAATTAACTTATTTATCTGTGATAGTTATTGCTCCTTTTTAGACTGCTTTATCATGACTTATTCACTTTCATTACTTTCATTTACATACTGCATTGAATTGATTGTCCTTATCTGACCTTTTTTTTTTGTCATGCTTTCTCTTGAGCCAAGGGTCTTTCGGAAACGGCCTCTTTACCTAAGATAGAGGTAAGATATGCATACACTTTACTTCTCCAGACTCCACTTTGTAGGTTTTCATTGGGTATAATGTTGTTGCAATAGTAACTTATCAAATTTTTGAGCCGATTTTATTATTCTACCTTTATTTTATATTTTTTACTGAAATTTTATCGTTGATATTCTTACTTAGGGCTTCTCTCTGATATTTGGCTTTAGCCCCCAATTTTGTTAAGACGGCCCTGGATTTAATTTGTATACAAATTTTTGATGCTATTAATAACGTTAACTTGTTATAATATATTATATCTATTCTCTTTTTAGGTTACCAAATTTAACATGCTATATGGACGTGCTTGTTATTGTAGGCTGATTAATAAGAAAACTATACAGTGTGATGCACATTACTTAAACTCAATAGTGATTTATGTTACATTCTAGATTGGAGTAATTTTTGTTGGTATTATTCCTTTTTAGGCATTATACTCTACTTTAATAATGCAAAGAATAAAGAACTTTTAATCCACAATTAATCCGTGGTTAATTCTCATACCTCTCCATCATTAATTTTTGTAATATATCTAGATTGTATATATATGTAGAGTGGGAGAATGAAGTTACTACTTCATAAATGGTTCGCATTCATTCATATGACAATTTCTTAATTTTTGTGACTTCGTTTGTGAAAAGATATTAGTTTTTCAGAAAGTTTGAAGTTACTGTCTTTATGACAATTTTGTCATTAAAATAAAAATAATGTTACATAACAATAATTTCCATTTGATTCCTACATTTTTTTATGGAAGAAACCGTAGATGATTTGCCTATATAAGCATCATCATTTGTAAACTAAATAACCAACCAAAAATATTATTCTCTCATCTTCTCAAAAGACTATTCTTCTTCCTATTTTTCCTGGGCAATTCCTTTTGCAAATTCCAAACTTTCAGCCATGAGTGCACGTGTTTGGAAGTACGGTGGAATCTTGGGGAGTGACGGTCTTAGCGATTTGCACTCAGTCGGACCGCAATCGCTTTCAAGGCAGTGGCTTGCCACGACACAGTATTTATTCAATAAGTTATTTCTATTCTTTTATTATTCTACGTCAATATTATCAACTATTTTTCTAAATTATTGAAAGCGATTTCATGTATAATATTGATCAATGGCTACCACTTTGACTAAAACTCTTCCCGATTTGTCAAAGCTTGAACCTTTAGATGGAAACAATTATAAGCTTTGGTCTCAGAAACTTTTAATTTTCTTCTAACAATTGGAAGTTGATTATGTTTTGTTTAACGAACTTTATGCTAATGTTGTTTCTAATACTACTGTTATTGATGATGGTTCTAATACTATTGCCACTATTGTTGTTGATGATGATGCTAAAAAGAAATTCGAAAAAGATAATAAAATTGTTCGAGGGCATCTGCTTAACCATATTACTAACCCTTTGTTTGATTTATTTATAAATTTGTTAAAGTCATATGGACAGATTGGAGAAGAAATATGGTGCAGATAATGCGGGGGAAAAGAAGTATGTGATTGGAAGGTGGATCAAGTTCCAAATGGTTGATGATAAGCCAATTGTGGAGCAGGTTCACGAGTATGAGAACTTGACTTCTGATGTTCTGAACGAAGGTATGGAAATGTGTGAGATTCTTCAAGATAATGTTCTGCTTGAAAGTTCCCTCCTTCTTGGAGTGATTACACTAACCAACTCAAGCACAAGAAGAAGAACTTAACTCTCCAAGAACTGATCAATCACATGAGGACTGAAGAAGCAAACCGTCTCAAAGATGAAGAAGCAGAACGTCTTAAGGATAAAATGAAATCTCTCTTTCTTAATTCTTTTAAAGCAAATCTCTCTTTCTTAATTCTTTTAAAGCTAACCTTGTGGAATCTGCTAGTATTTTTGTGAAAGACAAGTTTAAAGGCAAACAAAAGAAAGGATATCTGAAGAAGCATAACTATTTCAATAAATCGGAGGGCCAAATCCAAAAGTCAAAAGGACATTGTTATGTCTATGGAAAACTTAGTCACAAGACTTTCAAGTGCAACCAAAGACAAGGACAAAGCTCGAAGCATGAAAAGAAAGCTCCAGTCCAAGCTAACATTATTGAAAGTGGTGATGTGATTGTTGTTGTGGTCTTTGAGGCAAATATGGTGGCTAACAAGACTAATTAGATATTGGAAACAAGCGCTTCAAGTCACCTCTGCGCCAACAAGGAATTGTTCCATGACT